GCCGCCAGCACAGCGATGCTGGCTTACAATTGGACATCAGACACAGCTGAGATGGCACGCGCAATACATGCATATATGCACTCACCATGTCGATATTTGAGTTCTGCTTAGAAAGGATTAGCAGTACACTGTAGCGTTGAAACTGGGTACTCACAGTCTTAATCAAGGACAATCGATAAACGCGGGACAACCTACTAGATGCGGCAGCCATCAGACTTTGGGACTTCACACGCAACACTAGAGACGTACTATTGCCCTGATCAGCAGATGTATTTATGAGAGAACACCTGCATGTTAACACATCAGCTGCCATCCGAGAGTCAATGGTCAGGACGTACCAAGGGGAAGATAGGCATACGAAGGGAATGCAAGAAGTACGAAGTCAAGATGTGGACGCGATGGCAGGTTGATATGGGACCATACGACGACGTCATCGCGGACGGATAGGTGAATTTTGGGCAGGCAAGTCCCCCTTATAATAGAAATCTGCACAAGCGGTTGGGGATGTTGAGGGAATCTGGAGAGAATGTGCATGTTCCCACCAGATTCCCATCAAAGGGGGATTTACTGGGGAATCCGTGGGTGATATGCGCGGAATACGCAAATTCCCAGCATGTTCCCCGCCACTGTAATATGGCGCTTCACGCAGTGGGCCACCAAACCCTCATCTTTGTGGTACGCCAGGCATTCCGTGGTTTTCGACAGGGGAAAAATCTATGAAAAGGAGAGGCTCGAGGTAAGCCATGAAGCCCAGTGAGAATCGACATGGGCTTAGTTGTATTAGGTCGATTAGTACGGTAATTAGTAGGGAACCCCGACCGTAATCTCAATTCTACTGATTTCCCTACTTTGGCTGTATGCGGTTGGATAAGGTGGTATGGTCGCACGATATCATACAACCATACTTCGGGTCAGCTTGTTTGTTATTGGTTGCAGCTAGTTGCGCTCGGGTCGCGTCCGGTTCTGGTCGGGCAGGGACGGTTGTTGTTGAAACATGTCATTATATGCAAATTGATTGATACTGTATAAAGTTGGATGTCGTCGTATGGCTACACGGTACGATACAGCGACAAGCAGAACAGCGGAACGGACTGGGATCACAGTCGAAACAGTTGCTGATACAGATGCGATCAACCTCTCATGCCACTGGCACGCGTACCATGCAGCAGTGGAGCTGCCGTGATGGGAGCCACCGACACAGGAGGGAGGCTGACACTTCTGACGTTCGACTTGAGCGCGCCCGATTGCGATACTTGCGATGACCTGAAGGTGGCCTCATCAGTAGGGTTCGGTAATGGGACTCAATAGTGGTGCTCCTCACGTACCGTCTACCAGAGAGTAATGCGTACAAGTTTCTGCATCGAGCCTTTGAGAACGAGGCACAGGCAAAGAGTTCGAGCGACTTACCCTGCGATCCGAGGGACTCAGGGTCTTGTAGTGTGCCTCGAAGGCCTCCAACGTGCCAATGGCATCTGTGTACCATTTGCGCATGTATAACCAGGAGAATGAGTGAAGCCAGGACCTAATCTGGTGAGTTGAGTTGATTGGTACATACTTTGCTCCCTTCAGGTCCAGTTGAGAAGGCCACTGCGTTGTCTTGCGAGGTACGCACATTGTTTTTCGTCACCGTTGTCTGCGTAGGCTTGTCAGGAGGCATTGTCGAGGAGAAGTGCCTCTAGAAGCGACATAGTGTGAGTGGCTTGCAAACGAAGGGATGGAGATGGTGGACGTAGTGGATAGAGGCACAGAATCTACGTCGAGCGAATCCGAACATCGGCGCCTAAAGCGCATGACATCACATCCTCACCGAGGGGAGAGATCGATGCCGAGAAAAGGGGGAAATAGTAAGGGGGAAAATAGTGGGGAAAATGCAGTGTGTGGATGTTGTTTAGCGTACTGAAGAACTCCTCCGGATCCTCGAGTCCAACACCTCCTCCTCTCCGGCCCTCCCCTCATGCCTAACTCCTTGGGTCTGGGGACAAATGGGGAACAATTAGGGGTGGTGAGCACGGCGAATTAGCGGGGGAGGCACTGGAGCGGCGATACGGGTTGGAGGATTGTAGAAGTCTTGAGAGTAGGAGCAAACAGCAACACGTGTGGTAGCTTGCCTAAAGGGCACAACCACTAGTTCATTAGCACACATAATTTTCAAGAGGGGCCTTATAGACATGTTAGTGCCAAGTGAGAGACATGTCGACGTCACCGGTGTAAGGACAAACACGTCCGATCTGGTCACCGTAAGGTCAATTAGAGACATGCATTGAGCGCCTAAAATGTTCCGTCCAATTCAAATCGAGACCTCCCGACCTCAACCGCTCTTGCACGACTTTCGCCGATCCAAAACGGCTGAACCCATGTAAGTTTTCACTGGGCATGAAGCGTGGCTTTTCTGAACAAAGCCTTTGGAAACCCCGGTGAATCAGCGGGGGGTTGCCTCCTGCCTCCCGCTTTCGTGGACTTTTCTATGGTCGGATACATGGGATTGCATGCCGTGTGGTGAGACTAGTGGTGCGCAGAAATAGCCGGGCAAGGGAACACTGCTATGCCCACGTACTACGACGCTCTCGGCAAACCTATTCCTCGGGCCGGTGCTTAAGGAGTATCGATCACGGGGTGCGTGCACGAAACTTACATGGTACTAATGCATGAGCGCATTCGCATGAGCTATATTTACAAGGTATCATAAGGAGCTCCGAGACCCACACGCACACCCCCAGGCCTGTGTCTCATCCACCTCTCAAAGCAGTACACTTTTCATCAAGAGAAACATTCAGAATGGCTACTGGGCAGAAGACCGCGCTCAATATCGTCATGGTATGTATGTGTGCGATACAGAGTCTCCCGCGCCGCGTGAAAATCACACCATATGTCTTCCATAGGGTGCCATGACGTTCGGTGAACCAGGGACTGAGGGTAAGTCGTCAGGCCACATCTGTCGGGACGCAGTGCACTATGACTGACATTCGTTGACTAGGGGCTCGCGTTCACGACCTGAACGATGTCAACGCCATCCTCGACGTATTCCAGAAGCACGGGCACTATGAGGTCGACTCCGCTCGGACGTACTCTGGAGGCACAAGCGAGGAATACCTGGGCAGGATTGATTGGAAGAAACGCGGGCTTGTGATGGACACCAAGCTCTACCCCAATGCGGTGCGCAGTCCCGAGGCCGTGTCCTATGCTCCGGCTGTCATGTCACGGAGCAATGGATGCAATGCAGATCATGGTAGTAACTCGACTTGCTTGGCCGTTATAGTCCAACGCCCGCCTTCGGGCCCCTGGAAAGACGGTTATCTCGCACTCGACCGAGGTCGGTATGATCTTTGGGACATCCTTCTCGTGCCCAAGAGATTTAGCTGACATGCGCCCGTATGCGCCAAGGATTTGCGCAAGCACCTCGATATCTCTCTCAAGGCCCTCCAGACCGAGTACGTATACCGAGCATCATCACTCGATGCTGGCTCCAGCTAACGCGTACACTCGAAATATTCAGTTCAATTGACATGTGGTACCTCCACGGTCCCGACCGCACTACGCCATTCGAGGAAACTCTCAGGGGCGTGAACGAGCTCTACAAGGAGGGCAAGTTCAAGCGTTTCGGAATTTCGAATTACATGTCCTGGGAGGTCGCCGAGATCGTCTACATCTGCCGCCAGAATGGATACATCCAGCCGACGGCGTACCAGGGCATCTACAACGCGATCCACAGGAAGGTCGAACCGGAGCTGTTTCCGTGCTTGAGGAAGTTCGGGATCGCGTTCTATGAGTTCAACCCCCGTGCGTCTCCTACGGGCATTCACGATATCTCGCTCTCGAACTGAGCGTCCGGCTTGAATCGCAGTCGGAGGAGGTTTCTTCACCGGCCGCTACCGCTCCCTCCATGATGAGAACGAAGCTGGCTCTCGCTTTGACCCCAACACCGGCCAGGGTAAGGTATGTTGCTACAATAAGACTTTCGCTCCCTTGAGGATTGCTACTGACAAGATGCTTCCTCCTCTTTGGATATAGAACTACCGTAAGCGATACTGGAACGAGCCGTACTTCAAAGCGCTGTCCAAGATCGAGGAGGTCGCCAAGAAACACAACCTCACCCTTGCGGAGGTCGCCCTCCGCTGGATCTCCCACCACAGCTTGATGAAGCGGGAGTACGGAGATGCGGTCCTCATCGGCGCGTCGAGTGTCAAGCACATTGAGGAGGTACGTGAAGTTGCTGGAACTCATGTGTTTTTGGCCGTCGCGAATTTGCTGACCTCCTTTGGGGTCCAGAACCTGATCGATCTGGAGAAGGGTCCGTTGCGTAAGTCTTCACAAAACCTACTGAGTAACCCCAGCCCACGTCACTCTGATTTGGAATTTGTAGCGGAGGAAGTTCTGCAAGTCCTCGACGAGGCCTGGCTCGAGGTTTCTCCATATGCTTCCAACTACTTCCACTGAGTAACACAAGAGACGGCCGTCGATGAGCTGGAGATTAGCTGAAGTCCTTCAAGTGTACAGTAGCGTGGAGTGTCCTGATGCGCGGGCACCCAGGACGGCGTTCATTATAGACGAGAACGTACACTACCAATAATCCTGCGCTCGGTATCCCACCACTTCAACCTTGCCCCGCTTCTTCCGCTCCGCCTCCCACCGCTCGACCCACTTCGCCATCTTTCCCCGCGACGCCTCGCTGCCTACGTTCACCGTCGCGATCATCCGAGTCCACTCGAACGAAAGCGCGAAGCATGTCAGCTCAAAGAACGAGCTGTGCTCCGAGTACGGCACGCCGTACACCTGCAGCGCCGCCGTCGAGTTCCGCGCGGGTTGCAGGTTCGCATGTGTGAACGTGCGGCTTTGCGAGCGCGAGATGACCGTAGGTATCGAGGGGAGCATGTCGGTACCGTTCGGCGCAGTGAAACTAATGTGTGACTCATGAGCACACGCCGCCAGAAGATGACACAAGTGACTCACGTCCATCCCGTGGGCCTAAACCCAATGACTTTGCTCCAGTGACCCTTCCATCGCTCCATGTATGTCTTTAGTCGATCGGATGCGATGATGGCTAAGGGCACGAGATGCACGCCAGCGGTAAAAGGGTCGGTAGTGAGGAGCGCATCGAGCTCTGGATCTGACTGGCAGCGTAGGATGGCTGCCTTGCGAGGATCGCAGTATACTTTGGTGTCCAGAGCCCTGGCGATCGCTACAAACCAAATGAGCGTTGGTTCAATATTCCCTTTAGAGATGCATACCCTTCAAAATGCGCTCTTTCCCGATGGAGTATGTACTAGGAAGTTGTCAGCCAAGGAAGCTTAAGCCCGTAACTACGACTTACCCGACTACGATGAGGATCTTTTCGGAGGACGCGATGGCCTTCTCCTTCTCCTTGCCTTTCTCGCTCTTCTCCACTCGCGTAAACCAGCCTGTCACCGTGCGGGGCTTCGCCTCTCCGCCTGCCTTATCTTCCACAGACTTGCCCTGCACAAGTCGTCTCGCGAGCTCAGCACAGGCTGAAATGACGAGAGGCTGGGGAGGAAAACAATACTGACACGACCTGATCAGCACACAATGCAACTCAGACGGGTATGCACTTACTTTCGGATCCAGATAGGTCGTGTCCAAGTAGCAGTGATCTATGCGCTTCCCCTTGATCGCAGGGTGTAGAACGTGCTGCGGGGATGCTCGAAAGTCCCCGCAATGGAGATATCTGAATATCTTGGCAGAGCCAACGTACGACGACTTATATGCACTGTCGCCAGCGTTGACGGTCTGCTTGCCCTCAAAAAGGAAGAGGCACGAACCAGGACCTGAGAATGTATCTTGTGAGCGCGCATGTAGGAGGCGGGCATCCGGTACGTACAATGGTTCGCTTCGATAAGCGTGACCTGCACGCCACCGGTGTTGGGAATAGTAGTCGCGACGTCCATAGGGAGCGCGTGTACCCATTTCGGGTCAACGCCCAGCATATGTATAATCAGGTTGGCGGTGCCCTCCGAGCAGTATATTGGGCCACTATCCCACCTCGCAGAAAGGTTCGTGTAGTGATCCGAGTGCGCATGACTGTAAGAGACGTGTGATGAGACTTCGATCATGGATCATTATATTCGCATATATGTTCAACTGACGTGAGGAAGTATGCGGTGACGTTCGGGATAGTGCCGTAGCGAAACGCATCGACAGCGATTGGCATGCCCTGCATGACCTTATAGAACGGCGCCTTCCGCCGGCCCCCGTTGGCCTTCGTGGGACGGAAGTCGCGGTCTTCGACGGCGGAAGCTTCCTTCCACGCTTCGTTCTCCTTGTAAGAAGTCATGAGTGTAGTGAATATGTTGCAGTCGCCTTCCTGTTTCGCCAAGGACTTGGAGGTCCTCGCGATAGGTTCGCATTTGGGCATCTGAGGAGTTCGAAGCGCAGATAGAGGTCGCATAGGCTTGGAACTAGATGTGGGATCAGGTGCGGAGGTCTTAGAATCCGGCAGCGTGTTCAGACATGCATCGACATGGTCGTGAATATCCTGCAAAGATGTTCAGTCAAACGATAAGAACTGACGTTCACACGCGGCCCTACTGACTAATTCGCTCATCCCCACTAATTCCCTCTCACATATAGGGCAGCTCTCGACGGGCTTCTCATTCACTCCTGAGCTGATGCCGACGTCGTCGTCCAAGGTTAGATCGATGTCAACAGCATCATCTTCTTCTGCCTTTATCTTGGCATCTGCTTCCTCGACGAGCTCCATCTCATCATCACCCGTGTCCCAGGCGCCTTCGCCAAGTTGCACATCCACCTGACCTGCGTCTGCGTGCTGGCCTGTCGGGGAAAGTGATTCGTCCACAACACCGTCGTGCGAACAATCCGGCAGCACACGAGGAGGGATATCGTTCAGCGGCGGATCTGTAGCCCTTGGCTGCTCATGCGTGGTCAACATGACAGGGGTTTTTGGAAGCAACGTGTCCCTCCCGTCATCCTCAGGCTGCGTGACAGGACCTGGGGGAATGAGAAGCTCTGATGGTACACCAAAAACGCACTCGTTTGGGTCCGGATCGCTCTTGACGTTCTGGCCTTCATCCGAAAGGTCAGTCTGGCATAATCTGACTGAGGGGCATGCATGCGCACTGATATTTGCTAGGACAGGCGTCACATTCAGTACCTCCTTCCCGTTGCCAGCTGGTGCACTTCTCGGCACATTCTTCGTCGCATGCTGGACGGGTTGAGAGGCAGGACGGATTGCTGATACCTCGACCTCATCTTCCTCTTCCGAATCGTCAATGACAATAATGTCTTCGGGCTCACGCTTAACAGGCGATGCGCTTTTGCGCCGAGTCACGATTCCGATAGTCTTCTGCTTCTTTGCTTCTCTGGCATTCGAACCAGTGGAACCCCTGTCAAAAAAGTCAAGGATTGTCGACGACTGCGTTGCGATGGGTTCCTTGCGCTTCTTCGCCATTCGAACGCGAGGCAATACGGGCGAGTGTAGAGTACAAAACAACTAAGATGTGTTCAGACGATATGATATAGCCATTTAGTGCGATGAGCGAGCGAAGGGCGCAGTGGGGGAGTCGACGGTGGTCGGTGAACGAGCACAAGACAAGACCTCTTCGCAAGTTCGGAGTAGGGCACGGTGAAACTCGCGACCGAGATTGACCTATGCATATTAGCCTATGTAATTTACATGTAATTTACCGGTAAATCTGCAGACGTCCGAAATGGGTGGGTCAATTTGTGTCAATCAACTACTCAACGCTGCTCATGTGACACAAGCCATATCGCATGTGAGGCATCGTTTGATATGCATCAAACCGGCGGCATTATAGTCCAAATTACAGTAAGTGCTCGCCCCGCCCCGCAAGAGTTGAATCAGTGTGGCGGTAATGTTGCATATCTTATCTGCTAATGATTGAGGGTCTTAGCAGACAGATTATCCATTGTCGTCGACTCAAGGTGTTTCACGTCGGAAGGCACGCCGGATGTCCAGGGTGTCCTGCATGCGCACAAGTCTGGCATGAGACTACGAGCTATTGGTGGACGAGTTGGGTCCAGAGTATGGCGGAGGTTTTGCAGATAGAACCCTAGGCGGCAGCTTCTTCAATAAGCCTGACTTTTGTTAGCGCCGATCTTCTGCCAAAGATCCGTCCAACTGGTGTACTTTACACCTATTTAACCATTCTAATGCGTTATTCACCGTATGATACCGCTGATGTAATTCACTGTCATTTACCCCTGTAATTCTCGAGCTCGCCGGGACCCAGCGCTATTTAGCCCGTCAGTCTCACCGGCGGACCTATGTCACCGCGCCCTAGTTCGGAGATTAGATAACCCACATCCACGTGCAAATCCGCTCATATGTCCGCTCAAGATTCAAGCACACCAACGAGATGGTAAAACCTGCGCAGTGTTCCCAGCAGTCCAAGCACAAGATACAATGTACAACATGTCATAGAAGGAGTGCGGGACGATGCTTCTCGCCGCACCAAACGGGCACTACAGGCATGCATGCAAATTTTTGGGCAGTGGCGTACTAATGGCATACAACGAGCGCATAGGCATGCGAGGGTAGGTGATGAGCGTGAACATAGCAGCAGTACGATACAGACCCGTCTATTGCTAGGCAGCACGCTGTTTCCTCCTGACATCACGCTCCTCAGCAATAGTGAGCTTGATGCCCTTGCCCTTCGGCAGGGATACCCAAGACTTCGTGCCCTCACCAATGACGAAGATGTTGGAGATGCTGTCATGGTTCGGACGTTCAGTAAGATGGTGAACGTTACACGATAGAGTGCTTACCGCGTAGCAAATGTTCTGTCAAGGGAATCCTTGACGTGGACGATGTCGAAGCCACCAACGTGCTTCTCACGGTGGGTGATCACACCAGCACGACCCCTGTTACGACCACCGGTAATAAAGACGAGGTTGCCAGTATCAAACTTGACGAAATCGGTAATCTTGCCCTGATCAATGTCGAAGCGAACGGTATCGTTGACCTTGATCACGGGGTCGGGGTAACGGATCGTGCGGCCATCGTGTGTGACGATGTAGGGAACACCACGGTTGCCGATTGCCACCTTGCGGACCTTGAGGAGCTTGTAGGTAGCCTCCTCGGGGGTGATGCGGTGAATGGTGAAGCGGCCCTTGACGTCGTAAAGGAGACGGAAGTGCTCGCCAGACTTCTCGATCGTGATGACATCTGGACACAGCGAATTCACGCCCTGTCCGTCAACTCATGATAATGATAGAACTCAAAGCGACGTACCCATGAAGCCCGCGGGGTAGGTCGGGTCAGTCCTGACCTTGCCGTCGACCTTGATCAAGCGCTGCTGGACAATCGAGGTAACCTCGCGGCCAGTCAAGGCATACTTGAGGCGGTTACGGAGGAAGATCGTGAGGGGGAGAGATTCACGAAGTTTGTGAGGACCAGGGGAAGGGCGGGGGGCCTAAAATTCATTGTCGTCGTGTTGAGCAAGCAAGTCTCTGCGCCAAGACCGCTAGGATACGCACATAAGTGCCGCTGAGCTTGTCGAGCATCCATGAGGATGGCGCGGCAAGACGCTTCAAGTGCTTTTTGGGTCCACGGGCCTACACGGCATAGGGAGGATATAGTCAGCATATGATTGAACGATACGAGAGAATCACCAGGGTCGTCCGCGAGAATGGGTACCGCGAGCAGAGGTAAGGGGTTCATCCGGAGGCCGAGTATAGCATCCATCCCCCCAAAGCTTCAGATTGCGACAGTTCCTCCATATCAACCCCAAAGACGTCCCTGAGGACCCTTAGCAGCATACTGACCATGTTGAATGTCTTGCGGTCTTGACGTTGGCGGCGGCGTCGGCCTCGTTTGCTGGTACAGGCGTTCCAAAACTTGGTAGCGTTCAGGTGCTCGGGAAAGGCCGATGGGCCATCAGTCGGAGTTGGGCTGAGTGCAATGTGACCGAGCGCTACTTCAACTGAAGCGCCTATGACGCGTCGGCGGTCCGAGTAAGACGCCGGCTTGTACTACAGTCGACACCCTCTTAACCCATAGCCCTCGGGACAGGCCCAAATATACGGGTTTTGAGGGGTTATGGGCTACCAAGACTTTAGCGCCTCATAAGCGCCCTGATAAGTCCCAGTTGGCGAGGGCTGAACAGGCGTCTACTGACCCTTTGAGGGAGCGCTATGGGATTTCGAACACACTAATCTACCCATAACATGGTCGAAGCGTGGATGGACACTGGGAGGACACTGGGAAGAATGTGTCAAGTATTTTGTGGGTTATTGATGAGCAAAATCTCAGTGTGACCACTATTACCGTATGGGTTTTGAACCCTAGAAGGCTATGGGTTATGGGGTATTGGGGACCTATGGGTTATGGGGTCGAATTCCCCCTATCCCGACTTGGGAAAGCCAAAATCCTATGGGTTTTCGGAGTTTATGGGTTACCAGGGGTATGGGTTAGGAGGGTGTCGACTGTATACGCTATGCTGTCTCTGCCCTGCTAATCACACATATAGTAGTCTCTTCTTGCAGTCTCTACTACTCTCTCGGCATGGCTAGGAGGAAACGGCAGCTCCTCGAGGATGATGACCCCGACTCTTCTCCCGTTTCAGACGTCGATGAACCCCATTTCGATGACAGCGACCCGGACGCACGCGCTGAACGGGAGCTCTTCGAGAATCCATACAACAGGAAACGGAGGCGCAAGAACGCGAAGGAGGATGCGATTTACGGGGTGTTTGCGAGTGACGACGATGAAGAGGACGAGAAGGTCGCGCGACGGAAGGCGAGGACTCGTACCAAAGCTCCGTCCTTTGTGACCTCAGGCTCGAAGGTGACGCTAGACGAGGACGTGGACATGGATGGTAGCAAGGCTAGCGCGGAGGAAGATGGCGGGGAGAAAGGAGAGGACGTTGGTGAGGATGTGGAGTTGGAGGACGAGGACGCAGAATCGTCCGAATCTGAGCCGTCGAAGCCACCATCTCCGCGCGTACGGGAAGAGGAAGAGGAAGAAGAGGAGCGGCCGCGCTTTGGTGGGCTAGGGCTAGGAGTCGGGAAGGGAGGTATAGGTTCTAGTAAGGGTGGTGGAATAGGTGCCGGCAAGGGCGGTATCGGGGCGTCGAAAGGAGGCATTGGATCGTCGAAGGGAGGTATAGGGAGCGCAAGTGCAATGCCATCTTTCGCGAAGGGCGGAATTGGCTCGTCGCGTCCCGTTGCTCCCGAATCCTCAGCATCCCCGTCGCCCGCACCCGCTGCCGCGGAGGACTTCCCCACTGCCTTCGGCGGCGCACGCCAGCAACGCTCTTTCCTCCGCAATGCCGACAGCAGCACGAGCACCCCCCGCTCAGCGACGCCTCTCAGTGCCACCGAGCAAATGCACTTCTCCAAGATCTCTGGGACCTTCGGTGCGCGTATGCTAGCGAAGATGGGTTGGCAGACCGGGCAGGGTCTGGGGACGACGGGAGAGGGTATCGTTACCCCCGTGGAGAGCAAGCTACGGCCGAAAGGTATGGGTCTCGCCTTTAAGGGGTTCAGAGAGAAAACCGAGCAGGCGAAGGCCGAGGCGCGCCGGCGGGGCGAAATTGTCAGTGACGACGAGGATTCTAAGCCGGCCGCCCGCAAAGCTCGTAAGGCTGCGAAGGCGCACGAAGCTCGCACGGATGCTTGGAAGAAGCCGAAGAAGACGAAGACCCGTGTCGAGCACAAAACATACGAGGAGATCATTGCGGAGGCGGGCCAGGAGGCCGTACCTCAAGCTGGTGTTGGTCCCATTATCGACGCCACAGGTGCTACGGTGTGTATATGCGTGGTCTCTTCTGCCACTTGTGCTGACGGCGTTGTACAGCTGCGAGAGGTGTCCTCTTTGGCCGAAGTGGCCAAGGCGTCATGGACCCCCTCCACCGATCCCATGCGTCTCCCCGAGATTCGCCACAACCTTCGCCTCATCACCGAGTCATGTCGTACCGACCTGGATGGTCTTGCGAAGGAAGCCCGTGCCCTCGAGGAGCGCAAAAAGTGGATCCGTGTAGAGGACGCGAGGCTGCGGAAGCAAGTAGATGAGGAAGCCGAGCGTAAGTGCCGACTCTCCCTGCACACGAAACGATGGTTTATATTGATCATGACTCAGTTATCGCCCGTATGCAACATATGAACATCGTCGTGGACGAGATCAACACTCAGTCGCGTGAGGCCGCATCCATGTATGAGGCGTCGCTGGAGCCGTTCTCCGCTGGCTTTGACAAACTCCTTGGAGAGCACGCAAAGGAGTTCGACCGCTACCGCTTGGATGAGGTGGTCGTAGCTGCGATCGCGCCTGTTGTACGTACCCCAACCGACGTGTTGCCTCCCAAATGCTGACTGTATGCGTCTAGATCCGCAGAATGCTGGCACAGTGGCAGCCTCTCGAAGACCCCACTGCGTTCACGGCGAGCTTCCGTGCTTGGCGACGCGCTCTGAAAATGGCTATCCCTGGAGACAAACCTGTCAATCAAGTCCAGGTGTATGGGAGCAGCACGGTCGTGTCTACCCCTATCGTAGAGTAAGTCATACTGTTTCGGTAATTCGATTGCTATCTAACGCTATGACGTGATGTAGGGAGAAGCCAATGACTCCTTACGAGAGTCTACTATGGAACACCTGGCTGCCGCGCGTTCGCTCTTCCTTGAACAACGAATGGTCGCCCGAGGATCCTACCCCAGCAGTACGCTTGTACGAAGCGTGGTCGTCGTTCCTCCCACCGTTTATACGCGACAACTTCTTCGACCAGCTCATCTTACCCAAGGTCCACAAAGCCGTCGGCGATTGGCATCCGCGGAAGAGCAAGGTTCCTTTGCAGACGCTCGTATTCCCGTGGCTGCCTCACATCGGTCTCCGATTGGAGGATGTTCTCGGAGATGCGCGTCGGAAAGTCAAGAGCGTGCTTCGGGCGTGGTCAACTTCCGATACGATACCTCAGGACCTTGCCGTCTGGAAAGACGTATTCGATGTCGGAGATTGGGACACCATGTTGCTGAAGTATGTCGTACCTAAGCTCGGCTCCCGACTCCGCGAAGACTTCCGTGTCAACCCTCGACAACAAGACATGCAACCATTGCAAGACGTCATGTTGTGGGAGCGGCTCCTCCGCCCCTCTGTCCTCTCGCAGATCCTCGAGAAGGAGTTCTTCCCGAAGTGGCTCGACGTGCTGTACATCTGGCTCATCCAGCCGAACGCGAGCCTGGCGGAAGTCTCGCGATGGTACGAGGAGTGGAAGAAGGCATTCTCCGAGAACATACAGAACACTCCGGGCGTATCGCAGGGTTTCACCCGTGGGCTTCAACTCATGAATAAGGCGCTGGAACTTGGACCGGACGCCCCGACACTGCTCCCCCGTCCCGATCACACCGTGCCGCTCTCTGCAGGCGCAGCCATCACACTGTCGAGGCCGAAGGAGAAACCGAAGCCTGCGCGCACGCAAGAAGTCACTTTCCGTTCCATCGTGGAGGACTACGCGGCAGCGCACAACCTGCTGTTCCTGCCGGCAGGGAAGGTGCACGAGGAGTCGCGGATGCCGCTGTATCGGGTTTCGCCCACGGCGGACGGAAAGGGAGGAGTGCTCGTGTACATTCTGGACGATGCTGTGTGGGCGGCGGATGCGAATGGGGCATATCGGGCGATCACCATGGACGACATGGTTCTGAGGGCGACGAAGTAGGATCTTGTACTTTACGTGCTCGTGTATCTACTAGATTTTTTGTAATGCTGATATTCTCATTGGGGTGCGAGTAATCAGCCCCAGCAAACTGGGTAAAGGAAAAGTATAACGCCGAGATTAACTGCTGAGTAATGCCGTTTGGAGCGGCGCCGCAAAGCGGGCTGAGCGCGGAAAAGGACGTGTGGCAACAAGTGCAGCGTTTGCGCCGTTGACCACATTCTTGACCGCACTCTGCTCGATAGCCTACTGAAGGGGATCGATGGCTCGCTGCATGCACTAAATGGACTCTACCCAGCCCCAAGCAGCGACTAGTAGCAGCAGTCCGTTCCTCGCGCACACCGAAGACTCATCTCAGCCAGGATCCTCCGAGCCCAAGGTTCTGCGCACGAGCGCACGAGTCAAGGCCGCAAAGCAGAAACAGAACCAACGCACTCAGCAAGATATATCACAGCACGCCGCATCCTCCTCATCGAAGCGTACCCGCGACAACAAAGGCAAAGGACGAGAAGCCGCCGACGAAGCACGAGCAGGCAAACGGTATGTCCGCATGCATGCTATCGCATATCTGAAGCTTATTCTCTGTTCTCTGCTGCAGCACACGCCGAGCGACCCTCCCCGCATCCTCTGCACTCACAATCAACGAACCGACCAAGGACGCCAAGGGTAAGAAACGCGCAGCGCCCGAAGATCGTTCTGACGACGACGAGAACACCGCAACATCTTCTTCTGCGAAGAAGCTACGACGTGCTACCAGTGCTTATTCACTCAGACCGAGGGGAGACCATCAGGGAACATCGGATATGACCAGGAAGACGAGGTGTGTACTGAGCGCATACATGCTACCTGATGAGTCCCATGAGGACTGACGCCACTGTTAGAACGACTTCGGGCCAGGGGAAGGTCAATACGAAGAGCAAGGCGATGTTGGCTGCGGCTGGATCATCTAGTGCCCCCGACGAGGATGTAGAGATGATGGATGCCGAATGTGTTCGGGATGAGGGTGAGCGCCATGATGAGAAGCATGAAGACGGTGATGACCATGATGAAGTTGTCGACGAAGGCGGCGGTGGCGGGAACGACGACGACGACGATGAAGAAGAAGAGGCCGACAGGGATCTCGCAAGTTCACTCGGGGCTATCGGAAACGAGCCTTCCGCCATGTCCATCTTCGGCGACTATCGTCAGCTCGGATCCTATATGATGGGCATATCCGGCAGACTGAAGACCATGCTTAACAATATTAAGCCGACGGCCGACCCGACGACTCGGTTACTGACGCTGCAGGAGTTGAGTGAGCTGTTGAGTATCAGCACTGAGGACACCCTCGCCGGCTCGTTCCAGGTCGAAGCCTTCATCCGGGAGCTGGTCAGGATCTTGGGTGGTACAGGGAACGACGAGGGCGACGATGACGATGACGACGCGGTGGAGCAGGATGAGGATGCTGCGCTTGCGGCGGCGTTGGCGATGAGCGCAGGCGGAGGCACATACCAAGGTGACGAGAATCTGGAGGCTCAGGTTCTCGCTTGTCGGTGTCTTGCAAACTTGATGGAAGCCCTCCCTGGGGTCGCGCACACAGTCGTTTATCACGGCGCGATTCCCGTTCTTTGCAGCAAATTGATCGAGATTTCCTACATCGATTTGGCAGAACAGACCTTGAGTGTATGTTCTCTGCGTTTTCTTTCTACCACCTAAGTTCATGCTCATTTGTATCATAGACCTTGGAGAAGATTTCAGAAGAGTTCCCTAGCTCCATCGTGCGAGAAGGCGGCCTGGCTGCCCTACTGAACTACTTGGATTTCTTCTCGATTGCAGTGCAGAGGACGGCCTTGCAGGCCGCCTCCAACTGTTGTCGCAACGTATCCGTTGAGCACTTTCCCATGATCCGCGGCGTCTGGCCAATCATCCGTAACTGCCTAGGCTACTCTGACCAACGTCTGGTTGAGTATGCCTGTCTCTGTGTCATCCGCATCATCGACTCTTACTACCGCTCTGCTCCCGAGCACCTCGAAGCGCTTGTCGACGCCGACCTCATTCGCGCCATCAATATGCTCCTCCTGCCAGCAGGTGGTTCGCCTCTCATCGCTTCTAGCACTTACACGCTGCTCCTTCGGGCTTTGGCAACCTCTGCTCGCGTCAGCCCTAAAGTAACGCTGGTACTGCTCGAGGCTGGCATCGTGGACACTCTGTACCAAATCCTCACTGGCGTACTGCCTCCGTCGTCGGACGGTGTGAATGAGCAGGGTGATGCTGCTGGTGGGCAGGGTCTCGGTGGCGGCCTCGCCGACATGACCGTTATGGAGAACCTTGCCCATCGTCCGAAAGACCAGGTAGAAGAAGCTTTGAGTCTCGTTTCGGAACTCATGCCCCCTTTACCCAAAGGCCAGTTCTTTCATGGATTTGCCCTTCTGTACTATTCACACCCGTTATAGATGGCGTATTTGACCACAAGACGTACACGGAGAAGGCTCTGAACAAGATGATCAAGGCGAAGGCGAAGGCAGAACGCGCTGCAGCCCGCCAAGCAGCTGCGGCACAAGCGGCGTCGGGCTCTACGTCGCGTCCCGCTGCCGCCGACACTCCTGCCTCAGCAGCCGCAGATGAGGGCCAAGCGCCGGATGCCATGTCTGTCGACCCTCAGTCAGTCCAAGATGCTGAGGAGGCATTGCCGCAGTTACAGAAGGAGCCCGCCACTATCGACCGTACGGAGCTCTTGCGTTCGAAGCCTGAGGTTGTTGGACGCTTCTTACGCCTCATGGTGCCCATCCTCGTCGACGTCTATGCTGCGAGCGTTATTACTCCTGTACGCATCAAGACCCTTACCGGTTTGCTCAAGGCGGTCAGCTTTTTGGACGGCGAAGAGCTCAAGCAAGTCTTCACGGTACGGGCCTTTCGCCCCTATTATAACGCTTTTCGCTAACCATACAGCTCAGTTCGTGCCGGTTGCAAGCTTTGCGTCGTCTATCTTGTCCTCGAAGGACCACCCTACGCTTGTCATCGGGGCACTTCAGCTAGTCGAACTGTTGCTCGCCAAGGTGCCTACAGAGTATAAACCGGTGTTCCGTCGCGAAGGCGTTTTCCATGAGATTGAAGCGCTTGCATCGCGGACCATTACATCATATAAGTCGAAGGACAAAGACAAGAACACTGACAAGGACATTTCCGAAGCACCATCACCTGGCGACACCGGAATACCTACATCTGTTCCTATCCCCATCGCTGTGATCACCTCCATCCCTGGCTACAAGAAGCTGTCCTCACTGTCGATCGAGCCTGACGACGCGATTACCCTCCGTGCGCGCGTCATTCGGTTCAAGTACCTCGCGAGCGATGACTCTACCGGCACCGACGATGTTTCCGCTAACCTTCGCAAGTTGGTTGAGCGAATCACGGATGCCGCTGCGTCTGAGAAGGACCTTGCGACTGCTTTGGGCGAGCTTGCTGCCCTGTTCAGTTCTCAACATACGTCGGTGTCGAGTTTCGAGCTTCTGCAGAGTGGTGTTATCGATGGCTTGCTCGACTTCTTCGCCGATTCTGAACGTACTGGTAAGTCGTCTCACACCTTTCCTGTAATCCCATTGCTAACTGGTGACGTAGTGCCTCTGAGTCGTCGACAGGAGCTCTTCTTCAATGCCTTCACTTCGAGAAAGACCAAGGGGTCTGGTGGTCAGACACCATTCGCCGTCTTCGTGAAGAAACTGCAGGAGAGTTTGACCAGGATGGAGTCCTTTGAGGTCATAAGCGTGGCGCAAAGTTCGGATGGTAGGTGTTCGCGTCTCCTATCAACATTTTTACTATCACTGACAGTCGCACCTAGACTCAAAACGCAGTTCACCATCCCTCCTTGCTCGTCAGTTGCGTCTTCGTCTGGTGGCGTCAGAAGACTCGGACATTCCCCGCAACCTCAGCAACATTGTTGTCTCCATACACGCGATTGCGACCTTCCAGGCCTTGCATGACTACCTTCGCCCCCGCGTTTCCGGTCTATTGTCCAGCAGCTCGCGGCTCTCGGGCATGCTTGCTGCGTTGGCAGCTTCAGGGCTTGCGCCTCCCTCGGCTCGCTTCGGGCTTCCTGAGCCTTCGAGGGTTTCAGCGGCTGCCGAGGCGTCGTCATCGGCCAGCACCGCTGGCGTGAGCAGACGACGCAGCCTTCGTCTGAGCGCCAAGAAGGCGTCAACGTCAGGCGATTCTCCTGCGGATGCTCCAGCCACTGAGGCTGCTAGTGGTGGGCCCGGTGCGGAGGCTGCACCATCTGATGTCGCTGAAGGAGAGTCTATTGCTTCCGCAGCTGAGCCCGCTCCTAGCGAGACCGTTGTCAACGATGACGAATTTGGAGGCGATTTTACGGACGATGAGGTTGACGTCGACGCTGAGGTAGGTTTTTTTTTCTCAGAAGAAAAGTATTCGCCTAAATATCGTTCAGGTAATAGAGGAGGATGACGACCCTGACAATTCCATTGCGGACAAGACTATCGACGTTTCCGTGAGCGATGGTACGTGTCAGTGTACTTCTTCTACGAGTAGGTACTCATTGTTTCACAGATCACAAAGTCGAAGCACAGACACCAGATGGGACACTTGTAGCAACCCCTGGCAAGGCTCCGTCGACCTCGGCGACACCTCGTACTTCCACGCCGAAGACGTCATATGCTGCCGTCCTCAAGACTAAGCCGAGCGACTGGCACCTGGAGTTCTTCATGGATGACCACAAGTTGCCTCTTGACCTGACAATCTACGGTGCAATTCACCAGCATGAGATGCGCAAACACAAGGCGTCTGGCTCTCCCTTCGTGCCCAGTATGATCTGGCAGGGGGTCTACAGCATCAAGTTCAAAAAGGTCCCTGGTCCTCCTCCATTGGGTGATGGTAGGTCGCCTAACATCATCTAACCCGGTGGCCTTCTAAACCACACGTTCACAGCGCGTGCAGATGACAATGGGTCGCGAAGTCGATCTCCCGTTCCATCGTTGTCCTCTCTCCCCGAGGACGCCCCGCATGCAAAGATTTTGCGCATCTTACGTGTCTTGCAAAAGCTCAATGCCCAGGAAAGCGAACGTGCAACAGCTGCCGCCGCTAAGCGCATCCTTGCCCCTTCGGCGTTCGTTAACAACAAGTTGACTGCCAAACTGACGCGGCAGTTGGAGGAGCCAATGATTGTCGCGAGGTAAGATTCGCCTCGTCCATCTGGGTTTCAACCTTCATCTCGGCTGACTTGCATGGTTAGCTCATGTCTTCCTGACTGGGCCCTCGATCTCCCCCTGCACTTCCCCTTCCTCTTCCCGTTCGCCACCCGCTACAATTTCCTGCAATCAACATCTTTCGGCTACGCTCGTCTCATACTCAAGTGGCAGTCCCAGCAACAATCGCGTGGCCAAGATAGTTCGCGACGGGACGACGGCGTAGGCTTTCTCGGTCGTCTGCAGCGGCAGAAGGTGAGGATTTCGCGCAAGCACATCCTAGAGTCTGCCGTCAAGGTCTTCGAACTATATGGATCGTCGTCATCCATCCTCGAGGTCGAGTACTTCGAGGAAGTTGGTACTGGTCTCGGTCCGACACTGGAGTTCTATTCACTTGTGTCGAAGGAGTTCGCGAGGAGAGACTTGAAGATTTGGCGTGATGCCGACTCCTCGATCCCTGGTCCCCACGTGCATCACCCGCTCGGTCTATTCCCGGCACCCATCAGTCCTGACGACATCGCGAAGGATGGGGTTCAGTAAGTACACGGTGTATGCAGTGCTGGAAGGTTTGCTGATCATCTCTCCAGGAAACGCACCCATATCATCAGGGTCATAGGCCAGTTTGTCGCCAAAGCCATGCTCGACTCTCGGATCATCGACCTGTCCTTCAACAAGATCTTCCTCAAGCTGGTCCTCGGAGAGGAGGTGCCACTCACCATAGACAATCTCAAGGTACGGTTCGCCTGGCTCGTCTCGTGAACCATACTGAAATATATTGTAGCGCGTAGACCCGGAGCTCGCCATCTCGCTGTCAAAGATTCAAGGCCTAGCTGCTGCGAACAGCCAGAACGAGAAGCTTCGCCAGAAGCTGGCGGCGATCGAAGGTCTCGAGGAGCTCAATGTGGACGACCTTGGACTTGACTTCACCGTCCCTGGCTACGATATTGAGCTGAGGGTATGCTTCACGCTGTTCCGGTATTACTCAGTTGCTTATATGCTACCTAAGCCCGGAGGACGTGACATCGCTGTTACGGCAGACAATGTTGACGAATATATCCGCGAAGTGATCAACGCGATCATTGGCAAGGGTGCACAGGCCCAGGCCCAGGCATTCAGAGAGGGCTTCTCGAAAGTCTTCCCTATCAGCGATCTGCAAGCGTTCACTGCGGACGAGCTTGCCATGTTGTTCGGTAACGCAGACGAAGATTGGAGCGTCGAGAGTATGTGCAGATCTATGTTTGCATATTGTTCACCCCTAACTGACCCTTCCTAGCTCTGAGCGAAGCGTTGAAGGCAGACCATGGTTTCAACGTGGAGAGTCGGGCCATTCGGGATCTCGTTGAGATCATGGCTGGTTATGATGCACCCACGCGTCGAAGCTACTTGCAATTCATCACAGGAAGCCCGAAGTTGCCAATCGGTGGTACGTGTACCTTTCCCCTGCTTACGCTGTTGTCTTCATTAACGGCTTTCTCAGGCTTCAAGGGCCTCAACCCTCCGCTCACGGTAGTCCGGAAGCCGCATGAGGCTCCATTGACCGCGGACGACTACTTGCCTAGTGTCATGACGTGCGTCAATTACCTCAAACTGCCAGAGTATTCGTCGAAGAAGGTAATGTCGGAGAAGCTATTGATTGCAATGCGGGAGGGTGTGGGCAGTTTCCACTTGTCATAAAGAGTCGTCAAGTTTCATTTGTCACGCTCATCGTTATGTAGTATCACATAGTCCATCATCTGTGCTTTTATCGCCATGTCCAGTAGACCGCATCGTTTGTTCACTGTAATTCAGGACATTAATTTGCTTGCTATGTCCCATAATGTGAACCGGTACACATAGGATATATCTTGGCCCATCGAGAATACGATTGCCCCTTACAGGTGAGATCCTCTTTATTCCCTGAATCTAGTCCTCTGCTGATATGTCTGCTCCCACGCCTGAAACACCGCCCTATCGCACTGCTGCGAAAAGCTTCGCTTGCTGGATGTTGCATCCAGGGCTACATGCCACTGCAGTTTGTTTGAGGTGATCTACCACCACAAGACGTTGTCAATTCTTCGGCACCCATGATGTTCTTTCTTGGAGGACCGTATACAGCGGGACAGCCTCCAGTGGCTCTATCTGGCCTACGTTGGTTCTGTGCCTGATCCTTGCTTCTCAGTTTGTATTAAACAGCTCACTTGATCAGCACGCTCAAAAATAACGCAGTCCTCAATCTATTGTCGAGCTTATATGCACCATGGAAGGAAGTTCAAGGGGGCGCTTTGTACGTGTTCCCCGTCCTCTGCGGCAGTCACGTCGCGACCCATCTCTTGCGACCATAGCGGAGTCTCTGTAACCCGTGCTCAAACTGAAGATGGCAAAGCTCAACCGATTTAAGAACCTGCGGAACTCACTTTCAGCGGATGCCGCAGAACCGTCAACAATGTCCTCTCAAGACAGCGCCTCTGTCGTGGCGCTATACAATAGCGTGTAAGTATCATAGGTCAACTGTTTACTGCAGTACCCTTGCTGATCAGTAATTGGACACAGCTTTGTCGGTAACTGCTGCGGTATCGGTGGTGCAGGTCAGTGTGTCTGCTGCGTGCTCGCCATCTCACGTGGCCTCATACTTCTGATATTCAGTCTTTCTTGTATATGCGTATATCATATCCATGGGCGAAGGCGTGAACCTGTTCTTGACAAGCAAACTTACGGGCGCGTCGATCCTGTTCTATGCAAACCTCGTGTTCCCTTTCGTGACCAACGCCATGGCCCTGATCGGCTTTGTGAGGATGTCTGACAAGGTGAAGTCGTTTGCTCATTAGCATGTAATATTACACTGAAGACGACAGCAGAGGCAAGCTGCATTCCATGGCATGGATTCACGTGCCACAGCCTGATAAGAACTTATCAGCTGTGCAATGTTCGCCCTGGCTAACGCAACAGTCGGATACCTCCAATATATCCCATGGGCTAGTAGGTTATGTTTCCAGCCCCCATGAACGGAGGTTTCAGCTCATTCAGCTGTCAAGCTTTCTCCGCGTTACGCGCTTATGCATTATCCAAACGCATGCCTTTGGCCGCATTGGTTTTCGTCTTGGCTATTGTCCCATTCGCCCTCAATCTCGTGAGTAATCCTTTATTACGGGAATCATTGACCTTGATTCACTCGAACTCTGATGATACACATCAAGGTGCAATACGGTTTCGGGCTGACAGGCGTGAATGATCCGACATTTGGCTGCGCGACTGGTGTAAACCTACCTGTGGAGCTAACCAAACAGTTCGTGGTTAGCCCTCCCGATTGTATATGTGACGCTGATCCGTCGCTCTAGACGTGCGTGTCAGTATGCTATTTACGCGACCTGAACGTTCACCTTGCTGTCTACAGTTACCATTGTGTCTCGGACGTGTCTCATCTCCGCTGACGCCCTTGTTCTTGCGATTACTTGGTATGCTATACCTCGACGATCCTACAGCAACTTTGGGGGCGAAAGTTCCACTTTTGCTGAGATCCTAGTTCGGAATGGTCAGTCCCTTGGCTTCTTTGGAGTAGGCGAGGTGTTGACTCGCGACCTGTTACAGGAACAATCTACTTTGGGTACGTCAATTTCGCACTATTCTGTCACCGTGTCGTAGGACTCAATATAATCTCTCAGCTCCTTATTGATACTCAACGCCCTACATCTTATGTTCACCCTCCTTTCTGTGAGTAGTCACATTGCTCATCGATAAGCGAATAATTATGACCAAAGCCATCTTAGATCGACCTGGCGTTCGAGCCTGTCAGCTACATGACCATGTTCACCGAGCCGTAAGGCACTTGCACCTCCTACCGGAGCACCGTGCTGACCAAAAATGATGCTAGTGTTACGGCGGTTCTCGTCTCGAGATTCCTCTTGGATCTCCAAGCTGCCAATCGAAAGGCCCTAGACCTATACCCCCAAGATATGTCGCATACCGGGTCATCCCAAGGTCCCACAGGAAGCCTCATCTTCGAACGAGTAGTCGGATCACTCGGCTCTATGATCTTGCCAGGCGAACTAGTTGAGCTCGCTACAGACGATGAAACCACCGCCGACCCGTTGGATGCGGAAAACACAGTGGAAAAGTCAAGCGGGACGGACGTCGAGATAATGGCAGCCCCTTGACATTCTGCATGAGCTCGCTCACGTCCCGCTCATTTGGGAATCCTGTCTAACTCGTTCGAATCTGCTCGGGTTGCGTCTCGTCGGCGCGCTGCATCTGGTCGTAACCTATGTATGTACGTGCGCGATGCTCGGTCGTAGCCACCCAACGCTCGGCGTGCAGAGGGTGCGCCTTCGCCTGCCTTCTCTATATGCTATGATCTCATCCGATCGTCGGTCACCTTCAATCGATGTACATAATCATGATGTGGATTGATCGACGCAAGACTGGTCCATTCATCATCAATGCTCGCTGTCAACTGCTTAGGAATGCCCAGCTTCCCACGCATGCGAGCATGCGTATCAAGCCTCACATGACAGGTATTGTCGTTTGGCTCCTCAAGCAGATATTCATTTACACTAGAAGTTCGTCTCTTCCCAGCGAACATCAGCACTGCTTGATATCGCGGATATCCGACCCATTCACCCTCACGTCGCCGCATCCGAGAACCTGACTTCAAGTCCCGCAACGTAATATCTCCCGCCTCCTCCTCCCGATGACAGCTGACCGCGTTCTCTTATGCGTGACAGATTCTAAGGAGCCGTCATCCATACTCAGTGGTGCCATGGCTTGCATCTACACTGCTCTCACGTCGGTTCGCCACAGCATGGAGCATGTCTTATCTGTGGTAGACTCGACTTCCATGCTTGAGACTGAACATGCTTCCGTTCCCACTCATCTGCCGGCCTGGGCACCTCTCCCACGTCACACGATTGAACATAAGCTGGCTGTCTTCTTGGGGTACCGCCCATGGCTTGAATCACGATCCAGTGCAGCTGATCTGCTCTTCGTATCTGGGAAGCCCCGGGACTTGTATGACTGGAAAGCGGGTAGCCAGCGAGGACTTTAAGATGCCACCCAGGAAGTTATACCGCCATCCTCATGGGTCTTTGACCAGACCAGGCAAAATACGCTATGTCTTCAAACTCCAGTTCGGCTGCAGCCGACATCATCGCTTCATACGCGGCTACGTACGTGCTCTTGCCGTCTCACTTCTGACCCAGTATTAATCGCCAGAGTGGTATCAGAGCCGTCACCAATTACTGCTCCCTAGCCGGGATTGGTGAGTCTTCAGCTGAGAGCCGAGCCTGCATACCTTTGACACCTGATTCTAGTTTTCTTGATGTATGCCTATACTATCACCATCGGACGGGAGGTCGAACTTTTCTGGATGCGGAAGTTCTCTGGCGCCACCTTATTGTTCCTCGCGAATAAGTACATCAGCCTAGTGAACCATTTATACGACCTTGCTATGTTCATTGGTATTCATGTAAATGACAAGGTGCGTCGATATCTTCTGTTCCATGACATATCTTTCATTGTAACCGGTATCCCCCTCCAGACGTCTGTCCCAGCTGTTTCTAAGAAGTATCAAGGGCGGAAGCTGACTCCCTGATGTTTATAGTTGCAACATCGAGGTGGAAGTGTTCTCTTCCGTGGACTGGCTGCAATACGTTCCTTGGGCCGGTAAGTGTTCCTCGTGTCTTGGCTCCCCGTCGTTGCACTGCCAGATCTCACGCGAAATCTTTGCAAGCTTTCTCCGGCTTACGTGTGTTCGCTTTGTGCCGGATGTACTCTGTCTCGGTAGTTGTCAGCGTTCTCTCCCTTGTCCCGCTCGGTGTCAATTTCGTAAGCCCCTGACAGCCTACTATCCAGCCCGAGCGTTCACCACTCCATTTTAGGGCTCCAAAACGTTTGGCGTGAATGAACCTGGGGTGGGATGTGGGATGGACGACGAATATTCACCATCAATGAGCTTGAAGTATGTAATAGAAAATTCTGCAATCCTTTTGCTCTGACGCTGTTTGACAGAAGTGCGTTCCACAAGCGAGAAGGGTTTGACTGACCAGCTACTAATTGCCAACTTTGTTCAGTGGTTCTGGTTTCACGGTCGTGTCTGATTGTCTCCGACATCATCGTCATGTTAGTCACCTGGCGCCAGCTTCCTTGGCGTGGTCTCTCCCGCAAACTCTTATCCGTCGGCAGTATAACAGATATAGTTTTACGGGATGGTGAGGATTTTCGCTGTTCCGACAGGAGCTTGCTGAAGGAACATGTGCATACAGGAACCATCTACTTTGGGTAGGTTCTACCCTCGTTCGGCATCAGCTGTAAGAGATGTACTCAAAATGGCTTTGACAGCGTACTTCTTATCATGAACGTGTTTCACATCGTTTTCTCCTTCGCCTCTGATACGGTGAGTAGTTGCGCAGCTTCCGAGTCATCGCCCTCTGACAGATGACTCAAACCACATAGACGAGTAACGTCACCTTATTCACCGAACCGTATGTGGATTGCGTGTCTTCACCACTCGGCGGAGTTCACCAAAACTTGCTAATAGACTCACCGCCGTGCTCACCTCTCATTTTCTCCTCGATCTCCAAGAAGCCAGCCAAAAGGAGGTTCAACAAGACGACACTATCGAACAGTCAATGCCTTCTAGGAGCGTTATCGGAAGCAAGCTATCTTTCGCCAAAGTCATCGGCTCGCTCGACTCGGCCCTCAAGCCAGGCCTCTATCTTGGTGTGGACATTGATAGTGAGATGGTTCGCGATGAGTATGACGTCTCGGTTGAGCTATCACCTGTGGATTTCGCGGATCCTGAGAGGCTCTCATATCCCCAAGGTTCCGTTGCGTCGCATGATTCATGAGGCCTAAGTTGTCGGGGTTGTGGAAGTCGACAGCAGGATACTATGATGGGGCCGCAGCACTGGCATCGCCTGAGGTGTTGTATCAATCATCAAATTCATTGGATACGCTTGACCTAGCGAACCAGGATCAAGTAATGAACAAAATATTATGTTCATGTTGGCAATCACAGTACTATATACCACTCTGACTCGAGTCTCTATGTCGGTGAGTAGCATGTGGGTTCGAGCCATGTTGGCGCCTGCCGCCTACGGGTCTTGCCGGGCTCCGGTATCCGGACGGCGCTCGAGTCTTGCAAGTGTAGCAACTGCTGTCGTCGCTTTCCTACTACCACCAGCTGTAGAAAGGTCGCGTCATACAGGCCATGACAGCAGCTCTACGTAAGACATCTATGTACGACTATGAAGTGAGCCTCGAGCCTTATGTATCAATTCCCCATACTCATCTGGAAAATTAGGTTCAATGTCGCCGCTCTTAGATATGTTTTGCGATATCCATCATACACGATAGACCATGCCCAGTAGCAGGGTTCCGAGTGCACTCAGTCCTCTGTGAATGTGCCACTGATGGTCTCAGATGTCTTCACTGAAGGCCGGCGTGAAAGACTTGTCCGGTATAAAAGCTAGAACGTAACTTGAAGCTCTCCTGCCCATCGGTCTGCATTTCATTATCCCATCCTACATCATGTCCTCCCAAGTAGATTCTGATGCCTCACATGAAGCGACCCAGTACGGTTTACTTACTCATTCCTCATTGATTCTCAGAGTACTAACCATAATCATTCAGACTGATCTACAACTACGTGACCATCGCAGCATCTGGTATGACGAGTTGCACTCGCATCGTTGTATACCAGATGAAATGATACTCTCTCGCGTGGCAGCTTTCCTGCTGTTTGACTACCTCATCACGTTTGGGAGGGAGGTACGGATGTTTTGGGGAAGTAGATTCATGGCAGCATCAGCTCTCTTCTTTTCTACTCGATATATGGGGCTCGCCATACGCTTCGGCAGACTCGTTGCACTGCACCGGTTGCCAAGCTCGGTGCGTTCAGTTGATCTCTGTGGATCCAGTCGGAGCTGACAGGCGTGATACAGAGGTACGACATGTGTAGATGCACTTAACGGTCTCAACGGTTTCTGAATGTCTCCATCATCATGGCAGTTGTACCCTGCTATCACGAGCCTGTTTTACTTTATGCGTCCTTCAATTCATTCCATGCGCACGTAAGTAACATATAGAAGTCGCCTCCAACGATATCCCTACAGCCTGACTGTTTCAGTATTCTCTGGCTTGCGGTCATATGCATTGACCAGAAGGCCGTTGCTCTCGGCCACAATATTGACGTTATCCCTTGCACCTCTGGGAGCCAACCTGGTATGTGACATATGCTCCCGCCCAGCCTAGTCGCTTATGCACTAACCAGCAGTTCTATTACCGGTTTGGCCTTCGTGGGGTCAATGAGCCAATCTCGGGCTGCGTCCTTACCTATGAAGAGCCAGTATCCCATCAGACTAGTATCACGTACGTCGCCCGAGAATCTATATAGTGCCCCCTCTGATCTCAAGTTGGCAGCCGTACGTCTCATGTGAAAATTCTGATGAACCACATTCTGACCTGTCATCTGGCAAAGTGACCCTTGTTTCTCGTATCTCCCTTATGTCTGCGGATGCACTTCTCATATTCGTTACATGGCGCGCGTTACCCCAACATCGTATGTACAGTCACCGCTATTCCTTTAGATATGTGCTGCTATTGGATGGTGAGCCGTTGCCGCTCTGCCTCGTATGGCTTCTTGCCTTACTGTAGTATCCACAGGTACCATTTATTTCGCGTAAGCATTTTTGCTCAGTTATCTCTTCCGCTAACCGCACAAAACGTGAAACTGTCCTAGGTCCCTTGTTGTACTCAACATGCTCCACGTCGTTTTCACATGGTTCTCTGTGAGTTTACTATGACTGTGTACGCGATCTTATGGTCTGATCATTGCAATTTAACTATAGATTCTGTCTCCAGAAGACGGCGGTCCGAGTTACATAGCGTTGTTCACCGAACCGTGCGTAGCGGCTAGCACCATCATCTGCGCCGCTTCATCCACTGATTCTGTGTGCACTCCTGTCAGCATGACTGCGGTGCTTACATCGCGCTTCTTGCTCGACCTGCAGGAAGTGAACCAACGGGCCATAGGGCGGTACTCCAGCGGTACCCAATCAATCTCCTTAACATCGAGCTTCGCCCCGAAATTCATCAGCTCCCTCGGCTCCCACATATTCCCTGAAGAGGACGACACTGATACCGTGTTAAGTCTATCGATGTTCACCATTCCCTCAGTGACGTCCTACAATCTCGATCTGCCTGCTTACACGGAGAGAGGCTTGTCGAGTGCCGATCCCTTCGCTGATCGAGCCGCGACCCCTCAATGTCGCGATGGGGCGAAGTCCGTGTGCGTCGAGGACGGAGAAGTCTGCTGGGCGATCTAAGCGTCTTTGTATGATGTCGTTTTTGTACTATACTACAATTTGGAAGATGTACCGTATCGTGCCGTCGCTCCGTACATCCGCAAATGAATGTCTACGAGCGCAGGAAGACGATAGTAGGGGCGGGCTGCCAGCCGTTAGCGTTGTCGTTGACGAAGTACGGCCTACAGGGACGCGCCCATGGTGTCCCGCAAGATTCGCGACGGGTAGCAATACCGTTCATCGAGGCTGGATCACCACGCTGCCACCATTTGCCCTGTGTGTTACAAGGTACTCTTCAAGCTCAGCAATACACAGCATGCCAACAACGTCCCCACTCCAAAGTGAACCGCCTTTGTCCACCAGGTCTTTGGCAGCCCTCCCTGGCGGAGTCTTTGTACGGCATTGGGTAGCTGCTCAACATCGGTTGCCTCAAGTTCGCTTAGCATCACGGCTCCGCCATCAGTCGCAACGCCCCTGGACATGTACCAGTCGAAAAGGACATCAAGCAGCTGGCCGCCGTCGAGGAAGGGCAGGGGAAGGAGGTTAAAGAAGTAGAGGGAGAGGGAGAGCGTCTTGAGGTACCTGCGTCGCGCGTGGGCCGATCAGCCGAACGGTTAGAATGCTGATTGGAGTCGGTCTCGAGGAGCTATGGTACGCACAGGAAGAGGTTATCCCAGAGAACGGGGAGACCTATGGGCAGCACCTCGTAGCTGGGCAGCCAGTCGCCGACCTCAACTATACGGGCCCCGCAGACGTCAGCAACCAGTGCTGCAGCATGTGGTAAGCAAGGACAGACAACAGACGACAGACCTTCATGCAGGATCTCCGACGTGTCTCCCTGCCACACAAGCCTCCGCTCAACATCGTCCGCTTCCCTCCCGTCCCGAAGCCACGGAGGGAGATGCATCGTGAGCGACACGAGCTCCTGGTCTCCGCGCGGCCGATTGCAGAGCTGGCCGTGGCCGCAGTCGACGACAGACGAGCAACGGCGCGTGTCGGGAGCATCGAGGAAGAGCAGGGGGTCGACGCATCGTTCGAAGGAGGGGTCGGCGATGGGCGCGAAGCAGGATTGCCCCATGAATACTTCTGATGATGAGGGTCGCGTGATACAGCAGGTGGCGTTTTGCACTGTGCGGAATGGCACGTCATGGCACATCATCATACGAGATACTATGTAGAAGAGAGTGTATGCATACCTGCGAACCAAGCCTCGTCTGTGCACCACCCGAGGGTAGGGGCCGGCCCGTCCCGCTTGTTTGATAGAAGGGACTCCCACCGGCTCGGGGCGCCTTGGGGGCCATCGAGGGTGTCGTCTCCGACCTTGTAAACCACCGAACCGACGGGCAGATGGCCGTATAACGGCGAGCTCTGGTGTTGGATGGGTTAGCATGAATGAATGCAAGGGCTGAATGATCGGCGGCCAACCTCGTCGATGTGTATAACAACCCGCCCGTATGCGGTAACATCTTGGTATCCCAATACTGTCCAGACGTGATAGGAGACGTTCGTCCATGCAATGCCGGATAGGAACAGCCAAAAGAGTAGGTTATGATACGCTCCGGCGGAAATGAGGCGGAGACGTGAACGCGGCGGCAGGGACTCGGTCTCTCCAGCAGCAAATGAGACGAAAGCGGACGGCAGGATGAAGGTGAGCCCGAGACCAGCCGAACCTAATACAACGGAGTCTCTGTGGGTCGATTGTCACTTCGGCCTCGCAGTCAACCTAAACAGTAGTGATACGCACAGAGCGGCGGCAACGGCATGTCCTGCTTCATGAATGAGTTGCGTCGCTGACAGGGCGGCAAAAAGGATGGGAAGATGGTGGAGAGGAGTTGTGACACCCGGGATCTAGCTCACAGGACGACACGGTAAGCGGTCGCTTTGGCTCTCGAGGTACGGGGAGGGCTGGCTAACTCTTCTCGGAAGTACCCACGGAGAAGATAGGAGGGCATCATCCAATACTTACAATGAGCTGCAAAGGTGCGTCTTGCGAACTACTCTCGGACGAGAGCAAAGTCTCGCCAAACAGCTCCTCTCTCTTGTGGAGGGTACGAGGAGCGGAAGAGATCGGTGTCTGGATCACATGTGCAGAGGAGACGAGGTGTAGAGTCGTCCAAAGCAGCAACAATACTGACCCCAGCATGCCCAATACTCCCAGCAAACTTCCTGCATCGTACGCGAAACCCAGCAGACGCTTCCACCGGCTATGCTTCAGCCTCGCGGCGAAGTGTTGGTGGACATTGTTGAATGCAGTGGAGTAGACTCCTATATGGAATTTGCTGAGCGTGATACGGGTTGTGCGAGATCTGAGCAGCTCGCAGGATAGTGACTTCGTTGAAGACGTCGGAGCGGGTAAGAACGCTGCGTTTGATGTCCGTCGTCGCCGGTAGTGACGCAAGGCATAGAGAACGGCCCAGAACAGAGAAAGCGAAAAGAGAAAGTGTTGTAGGCGTCCCACCATTACTGCAGCAACCGTGGTATTAACGGGATCATCGTAGGTGACAGCGAAGATGGACCGAGTTCGACGGCCGCTGGGGAAATTGGACGCTGATACTCCTCTAGACGCCTGCAGAGAGCCGCATATGCTAAGCGCCGCTGGGAGTACCTTGATCTCCAGGGTCGGTCGACTCAGTGTACTTACGCACATGTTGACTTCGAGTCAATTGATCTTCTCGCCCAGCTGAACCAAAATGACTAGCAGTGCTATGCAGAGTAGGCAGTACATTGTATCATTCTTATCGCCCGCCCAAGAACCCATCTGCCAGTGTCATGTCTGATGGCGACGACGGTTCCATTGGCCTACCCACGCAATTGGCGTACAGTATCGAGTTTGTCCGAGAGCTGAACGTCAACCTTCTGTACTTCCAGAGGTATGTCATCTCGGGTTTCTTCTTGGTACTCTCCATCAGTTCATTACATTTGCACAGACAGTTGTCTGCTTCGTAGTATAGGCCACAGCACGTCTCGCTCTGCCTCGGGATGTATGTAGATTGTGCCTGCGTACGTCGTCCGTTGCTAAGTTCCTGATAGTATCTGGACATCCTCCAGCCCATCTCTCTCCACTTGTGGCGGGAGAGGTGTTCGTGAGACATTTGTAGCTCCTGAGTCGACGCGCCCATGCTTCTAGGTCGTCATGTCCTGCGCCCGCAGTGGTACAAGGTACTGCATCGTTGAGCATTCTGAAATGATGGTGGTTGCCCTCTCGGAAGAGCCGGGGTCATTGTGAAAGTGCATTAAGGGAGTGACAGCATAGGGATGGTGAGTAAATCTCCCTGCACTCCTGACATTGTTTCACCTCCCGAGTAGAAACGATTGTTGACCTACTTCCGCAATGTCTTCTCCTGCCGGGCTAGATCCCGCGACCATCATTGCGGTATTCAGTAGCATGTGAGTCTCCTACCACTCGATGTATCTCCTACTTCGGGGCTCATACGGGATACTTGTACAGTCGCATTGCTAACAACACGGGTGTTGCGGGCTTGAGTGGGTTGTTCACAGACATACCGGGCGAAGAAAGACTAACTTTGTGCCCAGCTTTTCTCGTGTTTGACTACTTGATCACGTTCGCCCAGGAGGTAGAATTTTTTTGGAAGCCTAAGCTGAGCGGGGCAGGGGTTATCTTCCTGCTCAACCGTTACATCGTCCTGGTCACTATGCTGCTCAATGTTTCTGGGGTAGTTTTCACGGCACCAGCGCATGTACGTAGATTCCACATCTTTGCAGACGTTGCTCGGCTGACTAGAAGCGACAGAGGTATGTCTCCTTTGATGTACGGCTCTGGAGGACCGACATCGATCCGCGACAGCTGCGACGCTCTGACAATTGTAACGAATGTATTTGCCATGTTGCAGTACATTCCTTGGGCAGGTGAGCATATTCTCTATCTGATGGGATGCGGCGCTAAGGCGGGAGTAGTTTTTGCTGCGAAACGTGCCTCGGCACTCAGTTCTAAGAACCTGCTGTTCACTGCTTGGGTCCTCCTCCTGTCCTTTGTGCCGGTGGCATTGAACAGCGTAAGGCGCAGGCTGCTCCTCACAATATCGAAGATAACATCGTGCGGCCCTCGATATAGCTCCAGTTTATATTCGGTCTTCATGGGGAGGTCGATCCTGTCTTTGGGTGTGTGATCATCGACCCCATTAACCCAGATCTGAGCCAGAAGTAAGTGCACTTCCTGTTGCGGTAATGTTCACTCCTCACCTTTTCGCAGATGTGTGTAAATTGCTCCTCGACTCAGCCCACGGCGCTCTCTTCCTCACTATTGCTCGCCAGTGACTGTCATCTCGCGCTCCTGCCTGATTGTAGCGGATCTGTGTCTTGTCATCGCGACTTGGATTGCAGTCTCTCGGACCGTGAAGTTACGGACGCTCGCGACGGACGACACGCCGACGTTCGGAGCCGTACTCCTAAGGGACGGTGAGTGTAGATTGGATCATCTTGGTATGCCTTCGTGCTCAATTTGCTTATGGATCTGCAGGCGTTATGTACTTTGTGTGAGCGGGTGTCGCCTTACGATGAATATGCAAATAGAACGTGAACTGACAAAGCCAATCCTCCAACCAGTGCGCTGCTCTTCTTAAACGTCCTCCATCTGACATTAACAATGTTATCTGTGAGCACACATTCGTACATACGGACAAGCACCGCAATCAACTCGACCCGCGCAGTTCGATGTGGCTTTCCAGAATGCCAGTTACGTGGTTCAATTCGTTCATCCGTAAGTCCCTCTATACCACTCTGAATCACAGATTGAAACACGCAACGATCTCAGGATCACCGGAATACTGGTTTCTCGCTTCCTTCTCGACCTTCAGTCTACGAACCATCAAGTTATGCACTTGGATTCGGCCTCGAGCCCTGTGGAAACGGTCGTCTTCGGTCGGGCTGTGTTCTCACTTGAGACCAGGGGATCCGTCCGATCCAACCGGAGCAACTATACCGAGAGCTTCTATTTGGACGATGCGTCTGTTGATAGCCCTTTGGAGAAGCTGGCTTCTCGCGGTAGGGCAGAGGACTTGGAGGTGGGACCGTGGCGGACGGAGAAGGAGTGATCAATGGAATGGCGGAGGGCCCCGGCGGATGGAGTTCAGTGTATTCTGCACGGTATGTACGGAGCTTCGCCTACCGCGAAGGACAACCTATTCAAACCTTCATTTTAGTACGAAACCCCCGCTTGTATTTGTAGAAGGTATATAGGAGTAGAATGATGCAGCGCCCGACTCGGGGTCCGTCATGACTCGTGAACGACATCCTGATGCGTCTAGCCGAATCATTACCTTGCATCCTCTCTCATGTCGCCCGCCTCTTTGGCTTGGCATCGATGCCGATAGTTTCGTGAAGGACGGAAGCCCTAATGGGAAGACAGGTAGTCTCGACTCTCGGCTCCGGACGTTCTACAGCCCTCTCTGCCCCGGCACTCGATGCTTCGCTACCCTCAGCAAGCCTTTGGACGGATTAGGAAGGAGGATTGATGGAAAGGATCGTGAATGGACTTTGAAGAGGGGGAAACGAGCGCCCGGTATAGACTGTAAGCGCTAGAATGGGAACGAGACTAGAAGATAGGTGGCTCAGCACAACTATCCTCAGGGGCTTCCGATATCATTCTCCCTCGCGCTATCCAAGGACAAGGTATCGTGGCCAGAACGCCAACTTACTCTACTGTCAAATCAGGTGTCCCGAAATCGTGGTATTGTTTGCATGCGGGAGGAGGGGGCTTATCACGATGGTGACGCTCCACCCAGGCATGAGGCCGTGAAGACGGCGGGTCTTGCGTGTATCGCATCGCACACTGATGTTGTATGAATCTCTCCCGGGGGTCCTGACGAGCGTGCACGCTCTGGGGATCGGTGTCTAGCCGACTGCTAATCAGCGTGCCTACATCCCGATCATGCTGGATGACTCACTTGGCCCGGGTGCCCGACGGTATGGTGCGTTGGTTTATTGCATCTTCATAGGGTAACCGCGAGCTATGTAACGGTGCGGCCTCAACACTGACTCCTTTAGGTTCCCAGAGCAGAAAAGTCTAGCAAAGACCTTCAAGGACAGGACGGGAATGTGGCCCGGAGCTAGCTATGGCATTGGCTTGAAGAGCATGTCAAACGCTGAAAGTGACTGGTCATGACTAGTCTTCTCCACTCCGCTGGGTCGCTTAGCTTGCTCCTATATGTCTTAACTCCAGTCACAGCCGTTCCTATGGAGGGGATATGCGAGTTTAGCTAGACCACTACAGATGTATTGTAGTCGAGCGAGTCGTTGGACCGCTCAGGGATCCGATTGGGCTACCTCTTGCAGGAAGAGCGATGAAAAAGCAACGACCATATGGTGAAGAACGAAAGGTCTGAACCATGGAGATTAAAGAAACCAAATGACCTTATATGATGTGCTTGCTTTTCGTACTTAGTAACTCAACGCCAGGGCCGGTACCTTGACAGGCGCGGCGGTCGCAGATGCATTTGCCTGCGACCGGCCACGGATCATGATGGTGTGCTGTACATGACGCATGTGTCACCGCCCACACCTCAATATTTGAATGTCGCAAGAGTCTTGAGGCATATCGCATCATGTGGGTGGCATTTCGCGACAGGTCGAGTCATAGTTCAGCGTCTAATATTTTAGCCGGTCGTGGTCCGCGGTATATGAACCCGCTCGCCGTGTTCGCGTTCATTCAACTGGTCTGCATCTACGACTGTCCACCTGTTCAAAAGCCCTCCAGCTCCCTCAATACCGCATATTGAACGCTTTGCATACAATGCCCCTCCTCAGCATCATGAAGGCCCCTGTCTACGTGACGCTTCCGTCCGTAACTACCGCGGAGCACTCGCTTGCGAGGTACGCACCACATCCCACAAACATGACTGACTGTCGGCTGACCTTGAGACATCGCCCTTGAAGCTTCATCACCATCTCGGTTGACGCGCCTGCCGTGGTCGGGTGAATCAGTGACGAGGTATGGACCGTCAGCCCTCGAGCACACTGTCTTTGATTGACCCTCGACCCACAGAATGCCCTTAGCAGCCACCATGCCGCTCTGAATCTAGGTTTCCCCGTCCAATTGGCCAATGGAGGTCGCAACGTGAATATCGCGAGCGACGCCCCCAACTTCGACTCCGACCCTGACCCCGACGTCGACGCGAATGTGACTGCGCTCTACACTTCAGTCGTTCGCGCTACAGACTCGCACTCGTCGAACGGCGACTCGGACGTCGTCCCCGCTGTTATCGCTGTGGCGGTCTTCGTTGTCTGCGTGTTAGCGATCTTGAAGATCCTGCAGATAATCCGCGCAAACCGCCTCGCGGCCTCCGACGCGGATTTGGAGCTCGCGGTGCCACGCATGTGGGAAGTTTCTCCCCACCGTGCGCAGGGACCGCTTTTCGAAGGCAGGTGGAACGAGATCATGGTAAGCTTGCGATGTATCTTCTACAATCCAGCATATTCAAAGCTAGCCCCTACCTACAGCCCCTCGTCGCGCAAGGACGCACTGAAGGCAGCGCTGGGCTATCTCGCCACATGTCGCTTGCTACTGAGGGTCCTGGGACCCCGATCGGTCGTCGTGCCAGCGACGATAGCGGTTTGGAGCTCCTTCCATTGAGCATAGAAAGAATGGCTACTCCGTCCGTCGACGGGGAGCTTCACCTTCCTGCTCAGGTCGCGGTTGTCATTGCCATGCCAAGCCCCAACGATCCTATCTCGATCCGCCAGTGCCAATCTCCTATTCCGACTGCGCTCTTTATCGGAGTAGCAGACGTCTAGTATCCGTTAGCCACTTTGTACCGAAGTTGTTGCCCTCGAAAGTCGAATACAATACACCCGTTGTTGTGCCTTGTTTCCCACGTTTGTCCTTGAACCGCAGTCATCGGAAAATCGAATGACACTGCTCAACAATGTTGTCTGTGGCAGAGATGGGCGAGGGACTGATGACACCGGGGGTCAAGCGTGAGAGAGTCTATGGTTTCCCTACCGATTGCATGTCATAACTTCAGGCATTGTAGAATTCACTAGAGCCAGAACTCTGGAAACTGAAATAGAGAGAAAGCCTGAGCCATTAGAAGAAGTCACCGCTGCCGACTTTCGGGGTCCTGGGGTCAAGCACATCTCTGGTCTGTGGTTGGTGAGTGGGACATATTCACCACAAGTAACTCTAACTCCATCCAAGATGGTCAAGGGTACAAAAAGGACCACCGCAGGGGTCGAACCTGCAATCTCCTGATTACTCACTCGTAGTCAGACGCGTTGCCATTACGCCAGGCGGCCCATACAATAGGTTCCCTCACGTCAACTATGACTGCACGCAGTAGCCACGGACACTGATTCGTTTCAGCCGTTACGTCGATTGGCGGCACCACGATGAAGCATGCCGGCCATCACGACGAGACACACAGGTGTCGAATTTCCGAGGTCTCAGTAACGTCTTCGGTATGCTGTCTCGCTGTTACGGCATAGCTGTGGGCATTCTGTTCGTCTTTACAAGCCGATTTCTGATTCGAGTTGTGTTGCCAACAGGACCTTCCACCCTCCCACTCGTCTAGGTGCAGTGCTTACGACATACAAGACGTCTTCCGCGCTTGCGCTCGCGAAGTAGATCGCTGCCCAACCGTCAGTCTTGAACGATATAGTCAAGTCACATGGTGAGCTTCGGCCATCTACGTAGGTGTCAATTGATAATCCGCTTGAACCTCGAACTCCATGCTGAGTCGGCGACTTGGCTTCGCGGATTTCCTTCGGCTCGCTCTTTTGGCCGATCGACCCGGACAGGATTCCCTTCATACGTGACATATTTGTCCGTCCCAAGCCGACCTGTTCAGATCGCATAACATCGGTGATGCTGGTCATGAGCGACGGAGTGCACTGTGCTGAGGAAATCCTGGTGGAGGTGCAGAAGAAATTTGCCCAGTGCGGACATGCCCTTCTGGCCGACTGGATTCCTCAGCAAGCGCTTCTTGAGAACCTGGTGCGTAAGCTCGTGAGGCTCGCGTCTGCATTCTCGCGGCCCTGACTCAGACATACGCAGGCGACTGGATGGTATTTTTCGCGTTCAGATCGCAATGTTGGCGTCCCGACTTACGTATGCCCGGTCGGGATCGCTAGCAAAATTCATGGGTTATCATACAATGTCTTCCAGCCTTCGTTGGCTATCAGCGCCGACTAGCCGGTGAACGCCATACACCTTACGGAGCGACCCGGGGTCGCATATGAACTAATCGAAGTCAGGCACGGCGTTGGCGCGGGAGGACGCCATCGGCACAGTTGACGCTGTCAAGGCAGAGATGCGCGACGTCCTTGACCGTGCCTTCGGCGAGGACGGGGCCGAGAAGCATGCTAAGCCCCAAGAACCGCGAAGGAAACTTCAGTCAGCATGGTCGGAGGAAGGAGTGGCATGGCCCGAGGTGGACACCTTCTTGGACGATTGGTGAAGGGTGCGTGCATGTATCTTGGTGTTAATGCGGCGCCACAGCTACGACCTGGGTGGCGTTCCGTACCATAATTAGCGATGGGACCGGCGCACCTCTTTGGAACAAACTTTCTACATGGGGATTCAATGAGGACCCTTGTGAATCGTTCGTAACGAGCGGTCCGACTCTATTGCTAACCAAGAAGTTCCGTGGCTCGGCTAGCCGAACCATCGCGTCACATCGGACACAGCAGGCTTTCATGGCAATACCCGCGTACGTCACACATGCGACGAGGTGTTCGAGATTACTATTACTCATGATGTAAATCCAGTCTTGTCGGTCAAGCCTACCAACTAGTTACATGTTGTTCGCAAAATGGGGTCGAATTAATACTAGGCTAGTAAACCATTACCACTCTCGCAGCGCACTTGGTATTGATCCTTTAGTTCAAGGAGTTTGTGGGACGCTTAAAGGGAGGCGTCGTTTCCTCAAACCGGCATTACTCGGTCATCGGTACCGACCTATACCGGTCTGATATATTCCTCTTCCCCCGATGTAGCATCCCGATTACATCCCTTACCAACTATACCTATACAACGGACTTCACATAATGAGGAGCGGCATTCAAGGGGGCTTTGCAGGTACAAATACTCTGACATGGAGATGGGGGCATCTTCCCTCGTCTCCCTTCCCCGTTTCTCGGTGGACATAACACCATGACCATAACTACAGGAAAACACTTTGTTGTTTTCCCCATGCAGATGTGGGGTATGTGCGATACTTATCCTCTCTTCGGCTGGGCAACACTGAGTGTATCATAGGCCATACCCGCACTATGTGCACCCTGGTTGCTCGCATGGCCAAACTAAGGAATGTCACCATAACGTTCTTCATCATCTCTGGATTCTATGACCGAGTCATGGCCGAGATTTCGCGGGAGTTCCTTCCTGGGGAAGAGTATCTGTCCGCCCGCATCAGGTACGAAGCGAGTGAGAAGAGATACGATTGACTAATTACGGTCAATCATGGATGTAGGGTGGTTGCTCTGCAACACAACAAAAGCGTGGCCATCACCAAAGACGTAGAGGCAGCATTTGAAGCCGCTTATGTTAAGATGTGCAACGGCGAACCGCTCACATGCGCCAAGACTGGGAAGGAGATTCCCGTCCATCCTATGCGGGTCAGCGTCGCAATCATCGACGTACGTTTTTTCTAGGTCTCAGTGAAGCTTTCCAGCCGATATTTATCGGATTATACCTTTGTACAGATGTTCATTCCAGATGCATTCGAGGCTGTTCGAAAGCACACTCCGGACACCGTAAAGGTCTTCGTTTGGGTACCGGTGGCGACCCATTCGTTTTTCTTCTACTGGGCGGAAGACCACGTGGATTCAGTGGAGGCCTCAGCTGCTCAGAGAGGAATCTCGTTCGAAGAGGCGGCCCGAGAGGTGAGCAAGCTCCCGATACTATGGTTACGCTCTGTTCACTGGCTGCCCTCCGCTTTCCAGATCGTGCAGCCATCTGGTAAGGTGATGCGATCCCCTTTGACCGGGGCCATATATGATTATGAACTACAACCTCAAGCGGTGTGTCTATTTGTCTGCATAGACGATAACATGACTTAAGTCACAGGATGCCTCTTCACAGTTCCCATTATGGTTTTCTGGTACCCTATTGAAAATAGCGAGGGTCATGCAGACTGCCCATGGAATGCTCACTTTCGATGCAGCCGAGTACGATCCGAAAACAGCGAAGGCGCTCAAGGCATGGTTCGGAAAGAGTTCGCGCAAAGCCTACTACGCCGGTCCGCTAATTCCGCAAGGGACGGAAAACACTTCGAGCGACCCGCGGGCCGATATTATACGGAAGTTTCTGGATGAGAAACTCGCATTATACGGCAAGCACTCGGTCGTCTATGTAGGGTCATATCTACAGCCTACTTCGAATAGCCATCACTAACAGATGGGTCTTGCATGTCAGGTGTCGTTCGGTTCACTGTTCTGGCCTACAGACACGAACAAACTTTGGGCGGTACTCGAGGTTCTCATGGAGAGGAATATCCCATTCGTATGTTCAGCTCTGCCTCAGTGAAGTTTTCCCCTTCTGACTTCTTGTATCTCTGATTGATTGCAGGTCATGAGCTGTGCTGCCGAGTTTGCGTCAGGGATACCTGAAACATTACAGGATAAGATAGCTCAGTTCGGTCACGCCATCGTGGCGGAATGGGTCCCTCAGCAGGCACTATTGGATCATCCGGTACATATTCTCTTGTATGCATATCTTCCGAGTAGAACTGAGTAGGTGGTCAGGCAACTGGCTGGTACCTTTCGCATGGCGGCCACAACAGTACCATCGAGTCGATCATGGCGGGCGTCCCAGCGTACGTACTCTCCCTTTAGTCTGCTTGCGTGCGCTTCTAAAATTTATGCACAGCATCGTGTGGCCCATTAGCGCAGACCAACCCGTCAACGCCATCTACCTCTCTGAGGATCTCGATGTCGCGTACGAGCTCATCGAGGTCCGAAACGGTACTGGGCTGGGCAAGTTACTCCGCAACGGGAGGGTGCCCGTGGGGACCATAGTCGCCGTCAAGGCCGAGATGAATAATGTCCTCAGCAGTGCGTTTGGGGAGGACGGTGCGCGGAAGCGGGCGAAGTTGCAGAGTCTGCGGAAGATCCTGCAGGCTTCTTGGAACGAGGAAGGAGTCGCTCGGCGCGAGGTGGAGGAATTTCTGGATGACCTGTGACAGACGTGAGCATGTTGAAGATCGTATGAGGGCATATGTAGAGAAGGATGGATAGACATGAGAAGTGCTCTTCGTGAGGCCTGTTGTCTGTGTGGTAGCATCATTGGGGTCTCGTTGTGAACGGTGGTAACTAAGGTATGGATCGTTTCATCCAGCAGCCGCTCCTTGGGCGAGGGAGGAGGGATTGTAGGACGCACCGTAAGCGGAGAGTCTAGAGACATTCGCAGCTCTGCCAGTTCTCGCGAAAGGTCACTGGGAGTGTGGTCCTTGCTATCCTACCCCGATGACCTCTCCAGACTATAGGATTGATCTCCACCACCTGGAGGGGTAGCTGGCGAGGCTCCTGGATGTGAAGTGGACGCCGGCGAGGTATGAGAATTGCAAGACTCCTCAACGAGGGAGGCTGTGCTCCCAACTAGGCCAGATCGTAAGTGCGCAATGGCACCAGTATCCCCCCTTCAACTCGAAAGCACAGCAGCAAGAGTATTGCGGATACGGTCATTACTACGTAAACCTAGCAGCGCGGAGCGCGCGAGACAAAGCATAGAGAGCGGAGAGCGGAATCG